AGCTACATCTTCGGTTATAATTGCAGAAAAATCAATTAACTTACTAAATCACAAAACTATACTTGGTCTCGATCCTTGGAAGCCCTCTTCACTACGCCGGTGTTTTACCAATAGGCCACCAATGCCAGTGAGGTTTTTGAACTCTAATCTTCCTCTTATGTTACATATGTTGTTATAATTACAGAAAATCTTATTTGTATTTTATAAAACTTTCGTTGGTTCCGAAACTCGGAACTTCGATTCACTAAGCCGGTGTTTTACCAATCGGCCACCAAAGCCACAGAAATTTTTGATCTTTAATCTTCCTCTTATGTTAGATCTCGCTATATAATTCCAGAAAAATTTCATTACAAAAATCCTTGCGGACTCGAACCACGCACCTTCAATTTATTACGCCGGTGCCTTACCTCTAGGCCACCAGAACATCTATGCTACTGTTTTCTGCGATCCTTCCCATATTCTACGACTTGGTTTATAGCTGCAGAAAAATCATACTTATTTATTCACTTTTCAATTCCTATTGGCAAAAGACACCTTCACCTTCCGCATATAATACGACTTGCTTCCTACATGCACAAATTTCTTATTTTTGTTCCACAAAAAAAGAAAAGCCATGTTTTTGAAGCACGTATCTTCTAAACCATACGCCAGTGCCTTACTAGAGGACTGCCATGGTTATGACAACTACTCGCCTTCGTCTTCCACATATCCTACCGCTTCGTTTCTATCTTTACAAAAGCCCTCTCTACTTCTTGCTTCGTCTCAAAACCATTTTACTTTTGATGGCTGGCCAGTCACTTTCTCATTCATTCGGACTCTCATGACCAGACCTTAGTCTTGAAGTAAGCTTCACTTTTTGGCCTCTAATACGAATCCTTTCTGATGACAAGACGGGTCTATCCCTTCGCACTTGTCACAAGCAATTACTCTCTATACATCGTCCTACCTCACCTTCCTTATAATTATGAGGAACTCTGTTTCAACATCAGATCGATTCCACAATGTAACATCTGTAGTTTGTACACCATTGTTGAGTAACACCAACCAAGCCTTGTAAATGAATCAATCACATCACTTAAGTGAACAAAATTTGAATGCCTACTGGAAAGACACTAGCAAGTCACAGGCCTAACCAGACATCGAGCACTGAGTTGTACTGACTTTGGGAGCTTCAAAGGTAGTTGGGTGCATTTGTCACTTGCACTCAAAATGTCTGCTTATAACAAAACAAACCAAAAGTCACACCAATGAATAGAACTTAAATTTCTGTTAGCATTAGGAACCTGACATAAAAGCTTGAGACCAGAGACTCCTATTCAGTTGTGATTCTGATAAGCTGAGGAATGCAGTTTTATTTTTGCATTCACATTTAATCATACTCTACAATAGAGTTTCAGGCACACACTGTCATTGGCTTATTTGCATATGCCTTTAAATTGTCTCATATATTGACTTCTCACACTTTACACAAGTAAAAGGAATAAAGGATGTGTAGACTGCTCTCATGATCGCCCCCCCATTTTTCTATCAATTAGCTGTTTTCATACAAACTCATATATCCTGAAACTGCTGATAGTTGGCCACATTTCCAGCTAGCAAAAAATCTTTCAAAGCCAACACACTTTAAACACTCAGATGCTACCATTCAAAACACAAAAATAATGTTTCTTTGTACTACAAGACATACAATTTTTTAAATTTAAATTATTTACATTGAATTATAATCTGGGATAAATCTTTTGCAGAAACATTCCTAGGCAAACCATTTCTACATTGTCATTAATGTACAGTAATTAACAATGCAGTAAAGGTTTACAAAATGTGAATATACGCCTTCATTCAAAGGAAATAATGCAAAACTACTCAACGGGTCTGACTTGGCATTTTCTGTATACTCTTACCCATTTAAATGCAGCTGCCAGTAATAGCAGTGAGTGTCTTCAAAGAGAATTCAAAGCATTATGAGTTGTCTTTCATGTAATCTGACTTTCAATGCAATAACTGCAGATACATCAGTTACAGCTAACATACTCACAGCTAAGACTGGAGAGCACAGGCAGTCTCTCCTTATTCCTGAGGACATCCAACAAATAAGGTAAGTACAGAAGAGCATTCTTATAATCAAAGACATAGATGTTCAAGTTTTTATATTTCACTATGATACAAGTTAACACTGTGCATAAAATTTACATCAGCATGCTGTGTGGGAAAGTCTTACAAAATAAAGTAACAAAGCATTATGTTGCACTGTATTTAAATTAACATACGAATGTGTACAGACTCTTGTACCATACATTCTCAGCTATGCTACACATATACAATTTCAGAAAGTAAATTCAACAATTTCAGTTCTTGCGAAGAACATACTTAATTTCACCACTCTGCTTCCTCTGAAGACAACATTTTCTCTGACTTCAATGCAAGTCACTTAATTCTAAATCAGTCTTTAATAAAAAAAATACCACGTCACACCAAATTTTGGCCCATTTATTGTAAACATACTGTAGATATGGCAATTTAACAATTGTCAGCCTCACACTTTTTGCAGTCTTTAAAGAATTTTCATACATATATGTTCAGATAAACCCGATTATTATTTCACTGTGAATGTGCAACACCATTTTCATTTAAGGAAGAATTTTCTCCATCTTTACAGATTCAATGTTACCATCTTCTGTATCACATATCAACTTGTCACTCTCAGTGTCAACTTTTGCAAACCTTACAGAAACCACTTCTTCCTGCCCCCTCAAACTGTCAGAAACTATTTCAACTTCTGATTTAATGTTAGTACACATGCCCTCATGTATGATAGTACTTTCAAACTCAACCTCTTTCCATTCATGTACTATCAGGTGTGATTCAGTATTTGAAATACTACTATCTACATCCACTGCTGCAATTACTCCACCATCACTGGTGGAAACAGGGGGGCTACCACCTTTTATTACAGGGATATCTGATTTAATTTCAACATTCTGATGGAAATGACCATCAACAGCATCCTGTTCTCCCAATTTTTCAGTGCCATCTTCTTCCATTGCAACCACCCCTTCTGCAGATGTTCTATGCTTTCTGTAAGTCTCAACAGCACAATTATGCCTGACAGTATCATCTTCATCACCATCATCATCAACTTCTCTAGTAGAAATGCTAACAGGCACGTAAACAGGGGGCCGTGAAGCACCTGTGACAACTGTATATGATGGTGTATTCGTATTGCTGGCTACAGAACGAGATGGGGAAATTTCACCTTTCGTAAATAGCTGGATGGGTCGCTGAAAGCCCTTAGACTGGTGGAATGGAGTACCAATTACTTCACACTGAGTAAATCCAACTTCTGATGAAAGAAGATATTCTGTAAATTTCTGCGGGAGGAACTCGATGCTATTATAATTCTTGAAGATGGTCTCCTGTTATGAAATCAAAACAGAAATATCAGTACAAACATAAAGTAACACACCTAAGATTTACCAGCACCCTCTCCTCCAAGAAACATGTAGCATGTAAATTAAATTAATAAAATTGAACAAGGGCAGTTCAGCAATTATAGTGACTGACTATGGGCTTGATGACTGGCGTTTCATTTCTGGCAGGGGCTGAGCTTTTTATCTTTCACTGCATCTAGACTGGTTCTGCGGTTCAACCAGCTTCTTATACCACGGGTAACAGTACCTTCTTCAGAAGTAGCAATGGAGTTTGAGTGTCAAGCTGATCATTCACCTCCATCTTCTGCTGAGGTGAAGCATGCATATGCAATAATGCCATATATGAGCCAACTTACAGAATCTCACATTTGATTTCCATATGTGTATGAGAACTTTAGTGGTGTCCAAATTATACATACAAACTACTGTGATTATGCTGGAAAGCTTCATCTTCAAAATGTAAATGCCTACCAGGAGGAGCAAAATAATTTTATGTTATAAAAAAGCATAATATCTGAAGAGAGGGTACTTAAAGCAATACAATGTATATTGCCTCTTTTATATCAAGTGGCAGCTTAAGTTATTAGAAAATCTCCATTGCCACTGACTATTGCTTGCAGCATGGAGCACATAACAGACAAATAACAAACAGTTTCATACACTGTCACATCTATACGGTGCTATTTACAGTTTCAAACAAAAAACCTTCTCACTTCACATAGATAAAATACTATAAAACAGCACCTTCATGAATTCACTGAAGACAGGTCAGCAGTCATTCATCTCTGAAGCCTCAGTACTGCATGTTCACTTGTTCAGTATAGGCCTAGAGTTTTGATTTCTTGTCAGTCTCAGCTAATAGTGAACAGTTACACGTGAATTTAACGTTTATTTACTATCAAGGAAAAGTCCTTTATTATTTTGTTTCTATAAAATATGGCACTTTTTCCATAGTTCTTATGGTTTTCAAGATAATTAAAACATGGTATTTTTTAACATTTAGAGGAAGCAACAGAGCATGTGTGCCAGAATCATCACATTATGCATATGTCTGTACATTTCTCAATTCACTGTTTTATCAGTTTATGTATGTTTTATATTCTTCTTGCATTCATATGACTTGGGGGGGGGGCAGCATTTTGTTGTTTTTGTTGTTGCTGCTGTTTCTAGAGACACGATGTTAAAATGTTAACTCACAGTTAGGTTCTTCTTCTTCTTGTAAGATTCCCATGCCTGAGGTTCTAAGATGAGATGCCCTCCTGGTCTTAATTGCAAGTACATACGCCGAAATGCCTGCTTTAAGCCTGCATCTCCCCAGTTGAGATGCAACCACTTGGTAATACTCAGGCACAAAATTACATCAAACTGTGGCTGTTCTGTTGCCAGCAAGGCATCTGACTCCACCACATAGTTACCCTAAAGGAAAGAGAACATTTCAATATTAGACTGAAGTCTGGAACTTCACATGTACAAAGTGAAGGCCACTAACGACGGGTGCACATGGTCACTTACATATGTAGGAGTCACATTCATGAGTTGAGTACATGTTTGCTTGTGTGTTTTGAACTGAATGGGGGGCACCAACGTAACAGACACTAAATGATACAATTTTTCCAAAATTCAGTAAGAATATGATTGTGGATCTCCCTATCTTAGGACATTTTAATTTCCTACCATCAACAATGCAAATATGGCAGCTCTGTAAACTTCTGAGAAGGGAATAATACTACTGCCATTTAAATTATGAATCATGACAAATGTTTGAATTCTAACTTCTATTAAGGGAACTACTTTTCAAAATGTAAAATAACGTTGAAATCATGTGACATACTTTGGCCTAATGGCTACAACAGAAGCATCATTGAAACTTGATGTAAAATTTGTATATGTATATGAAGGCCATTCCACAAAACCAGTTCCAAAACTGTTTTGAAGGGTGGACTAGACGCTGTCATCGGTGCATATTTTTCCAAGGAGAGTACCTTGAAGGCGACCCACAGTGATATTCAGCAATGAGGTATGTAGCACTTTTACCATGAGTTTGCGAACTTATTGTCAGACCACGCCTACAAACTGTACATAACAAAACTCTTTTGTGCCAATATTTGATCCACAAAAAAGTACTCACTTGACTTGCTTCAACAGTAGTCCTAATGGCTTGCTGACTTCATTTAACCCTTTGACGCGGTCATTTAAATTCCGCTGCCGTGTCTCTCCGGCGGTAATATATTCAGCCGTCCATTTAAATTTTGCTCAAAAATGATTTATTCATCATTGTTCTTAAATTATATGAGATAGGATCATGAAACTTTCAATAAAATGATCTTAAAAGGTGGTTTTATAACCTTGCCTTATAATATGAGCGCCCGTTTTCTCGGCAATGGAGCAGTTGGTTTAGAATTTGAGCAGTGTATTGTATGCCTTGAAGCATGAAACTTTCACTAAAATGATCTTAAAAGATTGTTTTATAACTTTGCCTTATAATATGAGTGCCCGGTATCTCGGTGGTGATTCAGAATTTGAGCGGAGTGTTGCACGCATTGAAGCATTCTACTATACACAGCGCTGACTCACATCACCATACCAGTACTGCGTATCTCTCTCATTTGGCTCTTTTTCCGTAAACAAAACATCTTCTGTGCGGCCTTGCCTTCCCCGTGGGGGGAATATAAGAAGAAATGTCTCTCCGTGAGTCGTATCGCTA